CACACGACGGTAATTGGCAGTATACAGGTCTTAATAAAATATTTAGACATTCTTACTTAACTAAAAATGGAAATTACTTTCATTCTTTTTACGAGGTCCTGGACACATTCCCTTTAAAACTTAACCCACAACCAATACACTGTATAGCTACTACATAACATTGAAAAACTAAGGGACTTCTTGGATACGCTTACTACCAGAGGGGTCTCTTACCTATGAGGTTGTATATACAAACAACGGTTCTATAAAAAGCAGAACCAAGGTCCTTTATAGGAAGGTGGTGCCTTTATTTGGAGGGCTGTTTTTCCGGATTTTTTCATTCTATATACATATTACTGACGTCAGTAGGGGGCTACCATCGTCATGAGAGGGACATTGACTCGAAGGTTGACTTGTTTTGCGTTGCCCCACGTCGGTGGGTTGGGGATTTCCCACATCTTCTGCTTCTCCGACACCGACGCCCCCTATCCCCCTACCCATGTCCAGTCCCCGACCACCAAGTGGCCCACTATCTCTCCAGCTTAAGACTCCTGTGCGTGTGAGAGAGAGTTTGCATCTAGCATTACACGATACAAGAATATTGTTTTATATACGTCTTTCAAAGAATGGGTTTTTAACTAAGTTGGGGCCTGCACAATTTGGTTGTGTACTTTTTTGTCACTCACTTTCAGAGGGCACCTACGATACCTTTTGATTCTGTGGACATGGTTATCTACATATGTGTCATTGCATGTCATAAGAAGGTGTATCCTCTGCTTTTTTTCATTCTATATTGTTCATCCTGACAAGTAGTCAACGTGCCCGGCCTTTGTGCACAATCACTATAACCAGTAAAGTGATGATTGACGTTAGAAAAGAGGTCGTGGAGAAAAGGAAGTGGTATAACCGTCTAGTGACAGACAAGATGACTTCACTCGCCAATGATCGACTTCCCACTGCCCCCAGTTCACTTCTGGGCATCGTCATTGAGAAAAATGTCCCTTGGGTTCGTCCTCACATACAAGGACGCGGTATACTACTCATGTCATCTCTACCAACCATTGAACACATACATAGATAGCTCTACATGGAAACTGCAACAAGAAGATGATTTCTTTTCCTCTCATGTGCCTACAACAAATTGCAGAAGTCTGACCCCGTCATTATTGGGACAGCGAAAATTGTGGGCGAAGATCTGGTCGTGGTGCAGCTAGATAGAAGGTGATAATATAACCATTCCATACTCCTTAAAAAAAAATTTGTAAGGTGTTGGTTTGTCTCTTTTTCCACTGAGTGCTTACAACAATGCCAAATCATTGACCCCCTTATATGGGGGGACAGCAAATTTGGGGGTAGTTGCTGCAAGATAAGAAGATGTCACCATTTCCATGCTCCACTGTGTAAACTATTAAGGATAGTTGGTTTGTCTCTTTTTTCCCGTTCCCACTCATGTTCTACAACAAATCAAAATGGTGACACCCTCATTTAGGGGGACAAGCGCAATTTTGGCGAGATGATAGGTGCAGGCGTGATCCCATTCATACTCCAACTGGTATTGGCGATCGTTTGTTGTATTTGGTGATACAGGCGTGCAATTGCCTTGCTTCTGGCTCACCCATTGCATCAGTGATTTTTTGTGTGAAGTTTTGTAAACAAAAGATGTGTGTTGTAGCTATGTTTCATGGAAAGAACGAGTGTACCACCGCTGTTACAATACATGAAGTAAACTATCAGAGAGAGATTGGCCTTACTGAGAACTACTTGCAAACCCATATTACATCAAATCAGGCACATGATGGAGTTTATGAATGTCCACTAGATTTTCTGGCATCAACCCGAATATACGGTGTTCAAAGACACGAGCCGCCATTAGGCTCCCTGGGGGGGGAAGACAGAGGAGGGGGATAGGGGCAAATGGACATAGCAAACGGGTCACTGTGAAGAATGTTTTTAACATAGGACGAGAAATCACAGTTCCTTGTTGAGGAAAAATTTGCCACAGTGAATGCCCTCCTGGTCTTTACTGCTCTTCTGGTACTCCCCCCTGAAACGTATGGTGAAAAGTCTATGCCTAATGCCAATACCAGTGTATTACTTCCATTAGATATTTAGACTCTCTCCGAGGCTGAGGGAAGACTTGTGTCAGGATATCGCACCGTTCAAGAAATATTGGTACTACATAAGTATGCTCAGACATAGTTACAACAATTGTGAACTGAGGATCAAGTCGTGGTATGGAGCAGTCACTTCAAATGGAAATGACTTGTGTCGGTAAGCCCCATATGAACATTTCATAGGACTCACCATAATCATCTCCAGATACAAAAACGGCTTCCCTCTTCTTTACGGACTTCCACCCTCAGAGAGAGGACCTCCGGAGACTTCTCTCTCCCCCCCAACGTGCGTTCCCTCCCTCCCTTCTCCCTCACCTCTCCCCCACCGACCTCTCCCTCCATCCTTTCCGCATTCCACCACCATCTGCAGCTACGTATGTGTTAATAGAAATTCACGTGCTCCAATAACCATGGTCAAGAAAACTATATATTATATATATATAGAACACGGATATCCACAACCAGATACTTGCATAGTTGATCAACTATACTAACTACGATCTAAATTACCCAAATATAATAAGGTTACCTTGGCAATGCTTGGTGGTTTTACTGCGGTCGACGATGAATACTACGTTCAGTTGAACATCAGCACAGAAGAAACGTTACGCCCTCACTACAATTTCAATGCTCTGAAGTCGGGTGGAACAGCCGCGCGTCTGCTACTATATGCAGGCGATAGAGAACACAGGTAGCCGATTGTAATGTATGGGTTCTAACTATCTAGGTGGTCTGTAACGAATGGGAGACCATGATCAACCGTAGGGGATACTGCGCAGGGAGGGCCGGGGGGTCAGGCCTTCTCACGCCAACGCGTCCTAATATGGTCCAACGCATCGTAAGGGGGGGGGCGGAGTAACGCGAGTCCGAAAAAGCATTAAGTGACTGAAGAAGACAACAAACGAGAGCACTCGCAGAGAGAGTGCTACTAGAAAAATGAAAATCTTTCCAGACTCGGGGGAAAAGAGAGCACTTCGCTTCGCTTCCGTTTCCCAAGAGGAGGCGTGGCAGAGTTTCCGGTCGAAGTCAGTAAAAATTTCTGAGTCAGAACGTGGGGGCGCGTCTTCATCGTTCGCCCGAAGCATAAACGCTGGTCTCTTGCCGTCTACTCTACAGAGAGAGTAGATAGGCACATGTTTTCTTCATCTCAGCTTCGATCGAGACGGGCAGATACGCCGCTTAAAACGCTCCAGAGCGGCATCGCGTGTCGGCCTCAGAGGAGCCAGGTAACACGCAAGCATGCAAACGATACCTCGTTCCTCCTCCCACGACTGATGCTGCTCTTGTACTGATAGTTGTGGTGAAGGAGGCGAAGAGACAGCGTTGCTAGGCAGAGGCACACTAGAGAGAGAACAGAGAGAGGTGAGGTGCTGTGTAGTGTAGGTATATAGTGTACTGCTCTATTGTCATGACGAGCATGTTTTTGGGTTCAGAATGCCCGGGGTCCGACGTCACTGCAGCTGCGGCTCTCGATGCCAGTCCTTAGTAGCGTAGGAGGTCCAGCAGAGACAGAGAGAAACATGGTGAGACTGTATGCAGTTTAAGCAGTCATGGGCACGAGCAGCGCAAACCATATATACCACCTCTCTCTCTCGCTCATCTCTCAGTCGCTCTCGCTCCATCTCATCCTTCCCGCGTCTCTCAGTCCCTGAGCAGTACGGTGTCTTTAGAGCTCCAGTTTGACATAGTACAGCAGTCAATGATCCTACGAGATCGCCTCTCTCGACTGCTAATCATTGCTTCTTAACACTGAGAGAAAAGACCATATGCAGACTAGTGTAGTCACATCGACACAGTATCTCATGTCGATCATCTCATGTTCGACATCATCATGTGTACACACCTTTCCTTCTTAAGTATGGACTATTTACACGTTGGTGTCATGTTACTCGTCTCGCAAAGCAAAGTGCGTCGTGTATAGATATACAGCATAGTTTTATCCGCCTGTAGTACACCACAGCTGAGGGCTGAGGCACATCCCGACCGCACTTTCCTTTCCTTGATATAGGGAATTCTCAGCATTGTGCTGGGAGAGCATATCTGCGAAATGTACATATTATATAGGCACAAATGACCTCAGGTAGCTGGGGTCTTTCGCACTAAAAATATATCATGATCTCAATGCGTGACCAGTGGCTCCCTCTCTTGCCTTTCCGTTTCCTTGCTTCTCTCTCTCGCCCATATTCCCGTCACTTCCCCAGATTATCTCTCTCCGGCTCTCATCCCTTCTCTTCACTTCGCCAGACTATCCCTCCATCCGCTTTCTCTTCACTTCCAGCTATCTCTCTCCTTTCTCTCCTTTCCTTCGAGCTCTCTCTCTCGTCTCTTCTCATCTCCCTTTCTGCTTCCCTTCACCCACTACCCTCTCTCCCTTTCTCTCTTCACTTCCCAGATATCTCTCTCGCCTTTCGCTCTTCACTTCTCGGCAGACTATCGCTCTCCCTTTCTCTTCATTTCCCAGATTACTCTCGTCCGCTTTCTGGCCTTCACTTCCGCAGATATCTCTCATCCTTTCTCATTCATTTCCCACGATACCTCTTGCAGCCCCTTTCTCATTCCATTTCGCGCGTCCCAGATACTCTCTCTCTCACCTTCTCTCGGATTCGCTTCACGCAGATATCTCTCTCCTTTCTGCGTTCCTTTCGCAGATACGTCAGCTACCTCTCTCCCTTTCTCTTCACTGTTCACGGAGATTCTCTCTCGCCCTTTCTCTTCACTTCTCCCAGACATCTCTCTCGCTCTCCCGTTCTCTCTCTTCATTGCCAGATACCTCTCTCCCTTTCTGCTTCACTTCCGCAGCTAGCTCTCTCGCTCCCCACTTCCCAGATACCTCTCTCCCTTTCTCTTCACTTCCCAGATATCTCTCTCCCTTTCTCTTCACTTCCCAGATATCTCTCTCTCTCCACTTCCCAGATACCTCTCTCCCTTTCTCTTCACTTCCCAGATATCTCTCTCCCTTTCTCTTCATTTCCCAGATACCTCTCTCCTCCCTTTCTCTTCACTTCCCAGATATCTCTCTCCCTTTCTCTTCATTTCCCAGATACCTCTCCCTTTCTCTTCATTTCCCAGATATCTCTCTCCCTTTCTCTTCATTTCCCAGATATCTCTCTCCCATTTCCTTCATCCCAATACTTCTCCCTTTCATCTTCATCCAAGATACTCTCTCTCCGTTTCTCATCAGTTCCAGATATCTCTCTCTCCTCTTTCTCTTCATTTCAGATACTCTCTCCCTTTCTCTTCACTTCCTCAGATACTCTCTCCCTTTCTCATTCATCCTCTCCCTTTCTTCATTTCCCAGATAATCTCTCCCTTTCCTCACTTCCCAGATATCTCTCTCCCTTTCTCTTCATTTCCCAGATACCTCTCCCTTTCTCTTCACTTCCCAGATATCTCTCTCTCTCTCACTTCCAGATCGTTCTCTGTCTTTCATCAGTACTCTTCCCTCTCTCACGTCGATCTCTCTACTTCCAGATACCTCATCCGATACTCTCTCCCTTTCTCTTCACTTCCCAGATATCTCTCTCCCAACTTCCCAGATACCTCTCTCCCTTTCTCTTCACTTCCCAGATATCTCTCTCCCTTTCTCTTCATTTCCCAGATACCTCTCTCCCTTTCTCTTCACTTCCCAGATATCTCTCTGTCAGAAGTGGCTACAGTCCAAGCAACGGGCATCAGTCGAAGTCTGCTCCAACCAATCCTGCGCCTTCCGTCTCTCCCGTGTGCTAATTCTCTGCACACGCTCCCTCTCTGTCTCCCCCGATCAGCCCCTCGCCGTCCCCCTCAGGACTCTGGAGGTATATCTCTCTCCGGTCAGCTACAGAGAGGTTCCTGGGGAGGCCAGCAGTCGACTTCTGGACAAGCTCGTGGCGACTCAGGTTGACTGCGGTGAGTTGAAAGACTTTCTGTGTACTGTTGAATGATGCATTCTGTGCTCTATATGTACGTAATAGTACGAAATACAGGTGCAGCGAGATAGAAGATTGTACCATTCCATACTCCAACTTTAGTCAAAGCATTAAGGATAGTTGGTTTGTCTCTTTTTCCACCGATGTGCGTACAACAAATGCAAAATCGTTGACACCCTCATTTAGGGGGGACAGCGAAATTTGGGCGAGATAGGAACAGGTGCAGCGAGATAGAAGATTATACCATTCCATACTCCAACTTTAGTCAAAGCATTAAGGATAGTTGGGTCGTCTCTTTTTCCACCGATGTGCGTACAACAAATGCAAAATCATTGACACCCTCATTTAGGGGGGACAGCGAAATTTGGGCGAGATAGGAACAGGTGCAGCGAGATAGAAGATTATACCATTCCATACTCCAACTGTAGTCAAAGCATTAAGGATAGTTGGGTTGTCTCTTTTTCCACTCATGTGCCTACAACAAATGCAAAATCGTTGACACCCTCATTTAGGGGGACAGCGAAATTTGGGCGAGATAGGGATAGGTGCAGCGAGATAGAAGATTATACCATTCCATACTCCAACTGTAGTCAAAGTATTAAGGATAGTTGGTTTGTCTCTTTTTCCGCTCATGTGCCTACAACAAATGCAAAATTGTTGACACCCTCATTTAGGGGGGGACAAGCGAAATTTGGGCGAGATATGAATATGTAGGTGCAGCGAGATAGAAGATTATACCATTCCATACTCCAACTGTAGTCAAAGCATTAAGGATAGTTGGTTTGTCTCTTTTTCCACTCATGTGCCTACAACAAATGCAAAATCATTGACACTCCTCATTTAGGGGGGCAGTGAAATTTGGGCAAGATAGGGATATGTAGGTGCAGCGAGATAGAAATGCGGCAGAAACTGACAAAGCAATATAACTGTTTATCTAAACACAGCAGATCAAATTTTCCCCAACGAAAAGTGTTAACAGTGCTAATCTCGGCAGAACCGGAGAATACACTGCGAAGGCTATATATTACAGTAGGCTCATAGTCATGCATAAAATGTAAGTATGATGATGTAATACTTTTGTGGATTTCACCAACTTGAAACTGCGAAGGGCACACAATTTTGTTTTAGCATCCTGCGTTTTCCAAATGTTTGGCTTGAGAGTTTTTCATGACGCCAGTTTCGTCTCTACTGTTGCAGGTTATTTCCAGGCACTACAGAGAGTCCTGGAGACAAGGGTCCCGCCCCCAGACGGTCCTGACTCCGCCCACTCCGCCCTGGCCAACAGTCTCCTGGCATTCCTCACCCTCCCACTCCTCCGCCCGGGCGGAGACAGGTCAGTTTCTTCAACTAGTGCGATTTCAAATGAACAAGTGTATTCAACCAACTGGACGTTTAACTACTGTTGTGTGAATGAAATTTGTACTAAACATGTTTGTAAACCAAACTGTATATACTTCAGATATCTGGAGAGGTTTGTGAGTGAGGTGCTCTGCCAGACCCTCACTCCCCACACGGCACATCTCCTCCTCCCCCACCTCTCCCGCTCCCCGCTCCCACTCCCCACACTTATCACAACCGTCCACACTTCTCTCATTGCCAACTCCCTCCCTCCCTCACTCTCTCTACTGTTTTCCATCCTTCAGCTAACCCAAGGAAAACTAGGTGGGTCTTATGTATCTTCTCTGACCTTTACATTCTTATTCCAAGAAGTCACGTGTTGAATGATTTTGTGTAAAAAAAAGTGTTCCTGAAAGCTCTAGCAATGTTCTGGAATAGAAACGAAGTTTACTCTGCATTGCATCATCTTTCTGTCCATGTACAATACCTCAATTTCTAACCTTCCATAAAAGCTGGTAGTACATGTGGCTCTCAGTATACAAAGTGTATTTAGCATTTAGTTTTATAATGACAAAGTTGGATCGCTAAGACAGCTAGAATACCATTATTTTTCCCTACATATTAATTAATTAACACACACAGTACTTAAGTGTTCTTCAAAATGGACTATGGCTAATTTTTGCCCCACCCCTCTCCCCTCTCTCCCAGCCACCCAACCACCACCAATCATTTCTCACTACTGCCACATACTATCGAGACTAATATCTCATCAAATCAACCCGACAACGCAGTGGGCGGAGCCAGACACAGACGAGTTCCTTAACGAGTGGGAGGAGCACGAGGAGGCGGACTTTGACCCCCTGGAATCTCCCAGGGAGCTGCTTGGGAGCTGTCTCTCTATCATTGTCTGTGACAGATATCTCCCGCTCTACCTCCGCAGACTAACGTCAGTCAACATCAGTACAAATACAATGTACAAATAGTCTGGTTTGATGGTCCAGTAATTATGATATATATATATATAGGAAGCTGCTTAATTCTCACGTATTCCTAAAATAACACTCTTTGGCTAGCTTTGACAGGCAAATCATCATTCGGAATTATGGTGATAACAACAAAGATTGTATGCATGGAACAGCTGAGTTTATAGTGGCAAAGCATGCTATATTTTCAGAGTCTTTTTGCACCTGGCAATGCAGCAGCAACAGCACCCGCAGTCAGGCTTAAAATTTCAACAACTTTTTTGGAAAGGCGTGAACCTTAATAATATTAGATCTCTCTATACTGTACTCTGTTCCAGGTCGTTCAGTGAGCCACTGCTCCGTGGGGTGTGTGGTCTGTGTCACCAGCTGCTGTTGGTGAGGAGACCTGGGGTCTTCCCTGCCAGTTTCTCCAGCAACTATCAGTGTCTCCCAACCTCCTCTCACCTCTGTGGTCCACCGTTCAGTCTGTCACCATGGAGGGATTCAGGTGGGCGGGGCCTCGGTGTTGTGTTGTATCCTGCTCTACACCATACGTTCTGATACTGTAGTCATAGCAATGCTTTCTCATCCATGTCAGGAGTCATTCACTTTAAGAATTAGTCATGGAAAATTTCGATCTCCACGCACCACCAGTAAGAGTTTAAACGATATGGGATTTCTTGCAAGATTTTGAGTGGAAGAAACAATGAACAAATCATAAAGTCTTTGCCCTCACTGTTCCCTTCCTTCTCGCCTTATCTCACTGTCCTTATTTCGCCTTATAATTATCGCCATCTCTATTACTATCTCGCCTTGTCTTGCCGTCCTTTTTTCCTATCTCACCTTACTTATTGTGGCATAATGAAGTAAAGAATCCAAATATTCTCAATAGTACATTGTGCATACATTGCTCCATCCCCCAGTGGGTCAGTCCCGGGACTCCAGTTCCTGTCCCGGGGTGGGCAGCTCCCGTCCCGAGAAGGCCGGGCCCTCGTAGAGCGACTGGGGACCTTCTCCACTCTCCTCTCCCTCTACCTCTCCACCCTTCACGACGCAGAGTTCTACGGAGAGACATCGACGGGGGGCCATCTCCCCTTCTCGCGTGGCCAGTTGGTAGAAATGGTGGCTGTTCTCAGAGACGTGTATGTCTCCCTTCACATGGAGAAACACCTCCCCCACTCGTTATTCCGAGCCCCTGCTCGTCTGGTTGAAATGAAACCCTCTCCTGTTGAATACCAGCAACTGAAACAGGTGTGTTCATGCGTGTTTAACCAAAACAAAAATGTTTGTCGTTTTTCAACAGCGTACAATTTTTTAATTCTTCCATCAACTGATATCAGTCGCCTCACACCTACTACGTACCTTTTTCTGAGCACAATTTCGACTTTTCTGCAAGAATTGCGCACCTCAAATGTGTGGAAACTTACCCCCTCCTTCCTCCTCCTCCTCCTCCTCTCTCTCTCTCTCCCAGTGTGTCTACCAGCTGCTCTGTGGACTCCATGAGAGAGACAGTCGGCGGCCATTCTGTCCTCCAAGACACTGGGAGATGGCCCACCTCTCCAAGATCTCCTCCATCCCTCCCGATCTCTTCCTCGAGGCCGACGGTCAGAGTAAAATCGTCTTTGGTTGTGTGCCTGAATTGTGTCGAGACCTTCTGATGTCTTAGCTATTTTTCCTTGCTGCCAGTCTCTCTCTCCCTTGATTCAACAAAACAAAACGGCTTAATAATCAGTATTTCAAGCCTCATATTTTGTCGTATGTGGGTATATATGTATGTACCTCCTTGTCAATATACATATCTAGTATCAGTATATTTTTGAAATGCTCTTAATCCCCCTGCATTTCATTTAGCCTGCAATACCACCCACGTTCTTGGGAATTAAAGTGGCTTTATGGCTTTCCTTCGTTCTCCTGCAGAAGAAGAGCCGATGTCACCTCGGGTGGCCCCTAGTGTAACGAGATCCGCAGAGCTGCTACGACGAGCTCCTTTTGTGTTTCCCTTTGAGGAGAGAGTCCGGGTAAGTCGCTAACATCACCTTCCCCTTTCCCTTTGTACCTTTCCCACTCCAGCTCTCTCCTCTCTCTGGCCAAATTGTCTTCTTTCTATAACCTCGCCTTTTGCTTTTCGTTCTTCTTTCTTTCGCTTCCACAACTTGTGCCCTTCATCTCCCCTCTCTTTTTCTCCCCTCTCCTTCAATTTGACTTGTAGTATAACCTCTCTTCCTCCCCCCATATTCTCATCTCCCCACCCTCGTCCGACTCGAACCGCATGCAATCTAGTTCTTCAGGAGTCTGGTGATGCAGAGCAAGAGGTCAATCAGGGGTCATCTCCAGGAGTTTCTGATTGGTCCGTCGCTCCAGGTCCAGGCACGACGTAATCACATCTATGAGGATGCCTTCTCTGACCTTTCTCAGGAAAAGGTTGATCATACAACCGTGCTAACTGCTATTATATACATACACATGCCAATTATTCCAAGAGGGAATCTCTCTCTCTCTCTCTCTCTCACTCACTCACATGTCAATTACCCTCGCCATCACAGACACATAATATTCACTGCTTTCATTATCATGAAAAATATTGCTCAGGACACAACAGGACAACCAGGGAATCTGACCTCTTGTCAATCGTTTCGATCATGTATTTTTGTGTGGGTCATGCTGCAAATGTCTCACCTTTAAGAATGTGGCAGTAAAACTGAACAGAAGTGTAGGTGGATTCTTTGACTGGGCCCTTTTGTTCCATCTTTAGTATAATATTTCTAAATTCAGCCCTTATGACGTGTACTGTCACATTCCCTTTAAACTAAGAGGGAATATCCTCTCTCTCTCCTCTCTCTCTGGCTTTTCTGTAGATCTTCGTCTGCCTCTGAAGGTGATGCTGGTGAATGCCCAGGGACTGGACGAGCCAGGTATCGACGGAGGAGGTTTGTTCAGAGAATTCCTCTCAGAGCTGCTCAAGACCGGATTCGACCCCAACCGCGGCTACTTCACATCCACACAGGACGGACAGCTCTACCCTAACCCTCAGGTCCGTACATACATCACTACACCCTCTGTATGTCTGAAAAAAATGGAGTGAGTTGTGTGTTTGCTCTCTGCTGCAGGCTCCTTTCCTGAGCGACAACTACGCCTCCCACTACCGCTTCCTTGGAGCCATGCTCGGCAAAGTACTCCATTTTTCTGCATTTCGTATTTACATGAACATTCTATTATTGTCCCGACATAATCTTTAGGGTAGTAATCACAATGTATGCACCTTAAAGCATGTATATATACAGCGTTCCCTGAACCTTGTCCCTCTTTCTGATTACACCAGGCAATGTATGAGCACCTGTTGGTGGAGATTCCGTTTGCTGGTTTCTTCCTGTGCAAGTTGGCAGACCGCGGACAGGGCAGGTTGGAGGCTTACCACCTTGCCTCCCTCGACCCTGAGCTCTACAGGTAATAGGAGAGCCCCTCCCCCTGTAATAACGATAATATGGAGATTCTGTCTGGTTTTTGTTCAGGAATGTGTTGTCTCTGAAAAACTATGAGGGGAGATTTGGAGGATTTGGATCTCAATTTCACCACGATAAGCAGCGAGTTTGGCCAGAGCAAGGTCTGTGTGTCTGCTGCACCATGACCACTATACTAACACAAGTGACCTATACAATATCGCTGTCCCCTCTTGTATCTCACTGTTACTGTCCCTACATATCTCACCTGTATATTATAAGGGAGACCCGGGGAACATCGAAAGTGTCCTTTATTCAAAAGGTGCCCCCTTATTCAGTGGTAATATAGCGTGGGACACCATAGAGAGGTGTCCTCTTTTGTCAAAGGCTCCACTGTATAAGCGCAAACACAAGTAGCTAAGGTTTGTGGGCTATGCAGGTTGTTGAGCTACGACCAGGAGGAGGGGATCTCCCTGTAACTAGGGGCAACTGTATCCAGTACATCCACCTGTTGGCTGACTGGAGACTCAACACCAGCATTGACCCCCAGTTCCGGGCCTTCAGAGAGGGTCTAGCCAGAGTGGTACCCCTCTCTTGGCTACGACTCTTCAACCAGGGAGAACTTCAGGTGAATACTGGTGTAAATGGACAAATCTATGTACAAAAAATGCGAACATTTTGCCATGAAAGGAGTGGGAAAAATGGGCACCATTGCAATAGTTTAACTTAGTACATGTGTATGTAAGTGTGTATGTCATTCTTCATTTAGGTGCTGATATCAGGGGCCGAGGTGCCTATAGATATCAATGACCTCAGAGCCAACACAAAATATGCAGGCAAGTTATACTTTCTACACCTTTTCCACTATAATCGAAAGACTATGAAAGATATTTGGAGGATTTGGATCTCAATTTCACATATCCATGGAAGGCAGTTTATATGCTGTGCTGTCTTATACTAAAGTCATTTTCAGGAACAGGGAGGGAGGGGGGACTGTGTAATGTTACACCAATATTATATAGAGTGTCTTGGATTTTGGGGAAGGGGACACCTTTAGCAAATGCATCACTGTGTCCGTAATGACTGTTGCAGGAAAGTACAAGGAAGACCATGAGTCCATCAGAATGTTCTGGGAGGTGGTGGAGGGCTTTACGGAGCGGGAGAAACAGCAGCTGCTCAAGTTTGTCACCAGCTGCAGCCGACCCCCGCTCCTGGGGTTCAAAGATCTCTTCCCTCCGTTCTGCGTCATGTCTGGGGGGCAGGACGACCGGCTCCCGTCCGCCTCGACCTGCATGAACCTCCTCAAACTCCCCATCTTCCCCGATTTCAAGACACTGGAGAGCAGACTAAAGTACGCCCTGTCGTCTGGAGCTGGTTTTGAACTCAGTTAGCCAGTGACTTTACACCAGTGTCAGTGAAGTCAGTTTTTGAAACATGTCACCTTCATTCTACCACCATATCTATCCATCATGATGTGAATGACGCAGCAAAAAGGTGCTAATAATCCAGGGCAGTAGATGTGTGAAAGCAGCAAGCTTTGTTGCACATTGAGCATAAAAGAGAAACAGCAATGTTGTGCTGGTGATTTTATTCGGCTACATTCAGAAAAGAGTACAATGCTTGGCTGGTGATTTTAGTATACAGATGGTATAATAATGTTAGCCATGTCCAGAGAATAGTGGGGAAGGATTCTGCATGTAGACCATCACTAGTGAAGACATTGCCAGCCTACACAGAACAAAGATGACGCACTAAAACACGCGGAGAATGATTGGTGCTCACATAAAGAGGCTGACTGTCTGTTTCTTGTCTTCTGCTGCCTTCCCATTGGCTATGAATATCAGAGTGCAGTAAACGCCGGCCCATGCCGCCCATTTCATCTGTGAGAAAGAAAGAAGTACAACTTGAATTCCTATAAAGAAAAGTAGTTTACCCTCAGGAGTAAGCCTACGAGGCTGAAGACCATGCCCACGGCGTTCACGTGCTCAGAGATGCCGCTGGCCTCCGTCTGTGACGGGGCCTTGTAGCGGCGGATCTTCTCCGGCCGACGTGGGTCGTCTGTGTTGTTAGAGGAGGCAGATTGACCAGGCATAGCTTCTCTACTCGTGTTCTCTAATTATCGCGCACGGAACAAGGTGGGCGCCAAATAGAACGGTTTGACCTACGTCGCAACAAAAAGGTTGAGAGTCAGCGGTCATGGCTGAACCTTTCAAGAGAGGTGAGTGTGCCTCCTACGGCGTGACTGAGTTTCGGACCTGTACGCATATGCATACGCCCACTGAGCGTGTGTTTGTCTGCAGAGATGCAGGTGAGCCAGGAGGAGATGGCGGAGGCGAAGGTCCCGCTGGTTCTGCGAGACTACTGTGCCCACCTGTTCATCCCTCTGGCCAAGTGTCGCAAGGAGAACTACTACATCCCCTGGAAATGCCAGGCAGAGAAACACCACTGGGACCAGTGCCAGTTCGAAGAGTGAGAAAATACTCACATCTCTGTATGCTCCCCTTCCATGTGTAGTGCTTCTCTATAGTTTATGGAATTCTAAGTTAAGTCACCGAAACGACCCTCCGAATAATGATACCTCTCTATGTGTTCTGCCCCATACTCCGCTGAATAAGGGATGCCCCTGAATTAAGGTCACTTTCCATGTCCCCAAGGTGTCCCTTGTTCAGAGGTTTCACTGTAGTGGACACCTCCAGGTTACAGTATTGCAGCTATTGTGTCTCTAATGCTTCCCCTTAAAACACGGTCTGTGTTCTATGCAGCTATCTGGACAGAGTGAGACAGAAACGGAGACAGCAGACGGGAGAAGACTAGCCCCACTCACACTCACTTGTGTGACACCTTCAGCTGTAGTGTTGGCATATCCTTCTCTATGTTTGTATTCTACATATATAGCTCACTGGCCAAAAAATCTATACACATTATTAGCAAAACGGCAAGCTGCCAATTTGTGTACAACCCAACAGACAATCAACAAACACAGGTATGATGAAGTGAATAGTTAAGATTTTGATGTCTTAGAACTAGAGCTGGTTTTAATCCCCAGCAACTGTCTGTGTTGATCCACAGACCCACTACTAGCACCACCAGTCGATCTTTCATGTCTCCCTCTACTGAAAATGCTCCCGTCTAGTTTTGCTCCAGTCTTGAGCACTGTCACTTTAGCCATCTTGCTCCCATCACCAAACACCGACTGTGACTTTATTTCCCTCCGTCTCCTCTTTCTCTCAGCCAGCGAGGTCCCTGCGGCAAATTCAGTGGCTCTGGCTCTCACAATGTCCTCTTTCTTCTCTTCAACTAGTGGGATGGATATCGACGCTCTCTTCTGTATCTCTTCGTCTGCATCTGCCTTGGCCTTCAGTGCCTTCTTTTCCCCCTGAGGGAGAACAGTGGACAGCAAGGCAACGACTATACCCTGAGCCTCACAGATTTCAGCATGTCCAAAAAAAAAGAAGGTATGATTAAGGGACTAGTACTACCCATTATTGCAAGTACTGACTGCGGCGGCAACTAATTTTCGAGAGAAGCTAGCTACTAACACGAGGGACACGATGAATTTACATACCCTGAACTTCTTTCTAATGAGCTGGTTGAGTCCGAAATCTTCAAGTTTTTCGTCGTTCATAGCCTGCAGAATATCACCATGTCAAACACTTATCCACCACCAGGGAATCTACCAGCCTAGTTTCTATATACACGTTGGTCTTATGGAGAGGAACACCGATTAACATACAAAAGAGTGGTGTTTTGTGAACACAGGTGCATGCAGTAGGCAAACACACAAACCATGATTCGTGCAATGCGAGGAGCAGCTTCATCAGCCTTTGTCTTGTCCTCAACGCCGTGCTCCAGGCGGTACATGGCATCGGACGCCAGTTTCTGGGCCTCAGAGTGACCCTCCACAGACACGGTCTCTCCCTCCTTCTCCTCCCATCTCTCGTTCTTCCTCGATGCCCCACTCACCACCACATAGGCCATGTTCTGCATTAGACACAGTGTACTTATTAAAGGAGCTCCTGCAGCTATAATATCTGTACATTCCAAACAGAATCCTCCAAGTAGATAAAGGACACTCTGAATAAACAACACAATAGGGAAAAAAATCTCTCAAAAAAGGACACACTTTAAGGTCCCAAACGTTCACTTTATATATATAGCACATTTTAAACCTATGAAGGGAGGACAACCCCCCTTATAAAGCTGGTCCAATGTATCCATTAATCAGAGGTTCCACTGAATGCGGTAATAAGTGACGGTGGGTAAACAAAAGAATGAACCCCACACAGACCTTAGGGTCAGTCTGTATCTCAAAGTGGTTGTCACACAAGTGGCACTTCATCCTGAACTTGAAGATGGGTGTGGAGTAATAGCTACCAGCTCGTGTCTTCTCGGCGTTGTAGCGCACGCCCATTCCCACGTGGGATCCACATCCATTACACCAGATGTTGAACGGGAGCTCAAACCTACACGTAGCACAGTGAGAGAAAGAGAGACTATTTCAACCGAGGAAAAAGGAAAATGTCGAAGAAATAAAAGGAGAGGGTATGAGTTGAGAAGAGAGAAGTCAGATGAAGAATTTCACCGAATGATGAGAATCCCTCGGTCAAGTTTTCTCGCCCTTTCACGCAGTGGATGTGAGCCATGGAAGGTGTTTAGTGACCCCTAACATAATGGCAAGAGCTTTTTGTCAACGAATAAAAATATAGCTGTTTTTCTACTTGGTCAGGGGTCCAGTCTGGTGGATAGTACTTGTTGGTAGATTTCCTCTCCCCCTGCGCTCACAGATAAAACGTAGCCCACTTAGATCTAGCGATGCTGTACGAGCTTACCATGTTCTTGTTTTCCCTAAGTCTACAGAGAGTTCGCCTGACCTCTTAATTGGGGCGGGGTCTCTGGGTATGAATGCGCAACGCCAAAATGAATTTTCAGCGGCCGTTTCCGGTATTACCGGAAATATCCGAATACCCCTGACCGGATGTCGGCCCTGGCATAATAACCTTTGACCTTTATCGTAGTCCCGGATCTCGTATACAAACAGCGTAACGACGGAGGAGGACGTTGTTTGCGGCTAGCTGCAGCGGAGCTATTTGGAGCTGCTGCTGGCGCGTGGGGAGCTAGGGGATGGCTAACACTGGTTCAGCGAGACCCGCGAGGGTGCTGCAACTGCAGCGGAACGGGTGCTGGGACTCGAAACTCTTCAAACTGAAAACTGGTAGGAGGGTTTGTGTCCGGGGGACGGGAAGGGAGTAGCTAGCCAGCCAGCCAGCTGGTTGGAGCGGATTGTAACTATTCAGAAGAGTCAAAGATTTTTTGAAGTTCTAGTAAATACCCCAGCGACGATATCTATACACGTTAGCAACGGCTGTACCCTAGACCTTTTCTAAGGCTGTATAGATAGAGGAAAACTTCCAAAATCACTATTCGTTGCTCTCAGTTTACTATAGTTTCCTTGCCCTTCATTTTTAGCCAACATTCTGCATAAGTAGCTGCAGATATATACCCGCTGATGTATGGTAGTAGGCTGCTGTAATAGTAATAGATCGTCATAGGAAGTAACAGTGCTGACTGTAGAGCGACAGTGGGAAAGAGGGGCACATGGTGTGTGCATGTGTACCGATAGAGAAGTGGGGTGGTTTTACGAACGTGATGAGCTTTGACCCTGATTTGACCCCAGATTATGACGCTGTGAATAGGCTCTGTGTTGCCAGATGTAGGTCACTTGGCATTCTTTCGAGGTCAGGACTGGGGTTAATGATACAAGTCTGGGGTTTAATGATACAAGTTGGGCATTATAGAGCACCTGTGTTCTCTCAGCCAAACAATGTGCCAATATGTCAGTCGCCATAGAAGAGTTACACTTTGAAATGTATTAGAGTGTTCGCATCTGTAATGCATAGAACATAGGCAAATAGATAGGAACAGGCTAGGAAATTTAGGGACTGAAAAGATGGACAAGCAGTTAGTGGGGCGATGGCCGATGGAGTTAGCATCACGCCATCAATCCGCAGTGACCCTGATTTGAACTGATAAACTTTCCACTGCCATAGTCCAGTATTTGTAGTGGTGCCTCGGCTTTGGGATTCAGTAGTACAATTGTGCATTACTAACTGGGTCCTTCATAGGGCCAATATGTATGAATGTGGAACAGTGTACATTATGATCATTACCAGAGGTATATAATTAAAAAAAGGCATTACTTTGCTCACTGTATAGAGCATCTCGATACTTAATCCATTGCCACACACAAACAGCAATTTCAGTGCAGCCCTTCTTTGTTGTAGTACAATCGTACCTTTGTTGGGAAGACTTGATTACCATACTCTGTAGTAAGTACATAGTGCTTCATCCTACTCTCCCTCCCTCCAACCAGGTTTTACTCTGCGATTCACCCTCGCTCCGTGTCTGTATGCCAAGCATGTGGTACTCAAGACAGACTACCCAGCACCAGGGACGCTATACAAGAGAAACTCCCTGTGTACCCTCCCGTGGAACTACTCCACCAAAGAGCCACGCTGGGACCCAGACAGGTTCGTCGAGTTGGAGCTGGATCTCGCCGGACCGTACCGGTTCGTCTACGAGACCGGAAACACGGCGAGTCTCGAGGACGGCGTGCAGGGAAGCGGATATTTTGTAGTCGATCCCGAGCTAAGCTACTGCCCCGATGGCCTAGCCTGCCAGACCTACGTCACGAAGCTTCTCGGACCGCTATCTGAATGGAAACAGCGACTGCGGACTGCTGTCGAGTGCGGGTACAATATGGTCCACCTCACACCCATCCAACAACTGGGGAGCTCTCGTTCGGCCTACTCCATATCTAACCAGCTCAGAATCGACTCCTCCTACCTCACTCCCGGCTACTCTAGCTGGGAGAAGACGGTCAGCTACAGAAACAGCGAGGGGAAATCGAAAGAGCTCAAAGTCGATCAGAGCTACGTCGAGGTCCGGCAGATTGTCAAAGACATGCACAAAAACTGGGGTCTGCTTGCGATGGTGGACGTAGTTTGGAACCACACGTCGTTCGACACGCCCTGGCTCCTACAGCACCCCGAGGCTGGCTACAACCTCGTAAACTCGCCTCACCTCCGCCCGGCGTACGCACTCGACGTCGCGCTCGTCAATTTCTCTTGCGAGATTGCCGACGGGAAATGGATCAACCAGGGGATCGCCCCCGAGATCACACAGGAGGGGCACATCCATAACATCTGTTTCCAACTCCTCAATCACGTTCTGCCACGAGAGAGGCTCTGGGAGTATTTCTGCGTCGATGTCGATGCGGTCGTGAGCGAGTTTCGATCGACCGTCTACCGCCTGAACGGCGGGCAGCACCTGCGTCCCGAGGGTCGCTGGCTGGAGGTGACACAGGACAAACAGTACCGGAGACTCGGAGTGGGTGTGGACATTGATCTGACCCTCGAACTCTTCAACATAGAGTGGTGAGTCACACGTGTGTGTGTGTGTAGATGTACAGTACGGTCCCAAAAAAATTTTCATTAACGTTCGGTTTCATTACTGTAGGGCCCCTTTAATTAGCGTCTCCTTCTATGTTTGCATATCATGTGTGTTTATACCGTCTCCAGTCTGATTGCATAAATGATGTTGTATAATTGTGTGTGTCTACGCACAATTATACAGCATGCAGTTTCAATAGATATGGCTGTCATATAATAATGTGCACACAAGATGGAGACTGCATAGAATTGAAATCTGCACTTAACATGTGTACTAATGTAATGTATGCTCTGTTGTGACGACAATGTTATGTTGTCACCGAAAGGCCTGGAGCGATGTGTTTCGAGGAGAGGATCGAGCGATGCTGTGCCGACCTTCGCGGGGAGCTGACGGCCATCAACCGCCGGGCAGAGGAGCACGTGAGGTCCCAGCTGCAGAAGGCCGTGAACAACGCGGCCGCCCACATCAGATACGAGTTTCTGGAGTCTCACGGTCCGCAGAGAAGAACCGTCACTCATGATCATCCGCTGGTCCCGCGGTGAGTGGGGGAGGGCTTGGGTAGATCTTTGTTTATAGACTGCCATGGGGCCCCATATAACACACAGAGTGATCAGAGGGTACATATAACATGTAGTATATAGGTTTTTCATCAAGGTACGTAACTTCTCATAAGAGAGGTCTTGCATCTATACGTGTATATTGTACATAGATGCATGTTTAAAACCTTTATGCAGAAATTTACCTTCCTTGTGATGGTCTGAAAATCTCATCTGTCCCGTACTCTATGATTATGCACCTCTTTTTGCCGCTCCAAGTACATTTGTCAATAGATATTGCATGTACCCAATGGCATCTACTGTATGCATGTACTCAGTGACTGTATCTAATCAGATTCTTGGACAATAGCGTATGTTCTAAAACATCTTCCATTGCAATTTCCCATCCTTACAATTTTCTATCCAGCAGCATGTTGCGTGCAATAGGCAACAATAGACCCATCATCCCCAAACATCAGGAGACTTTTGTCTCACATAACAAATTCTCACCATATATGTTTGCCAGAACAGTTCAATTCAAGGAAAACTCCATTGTACCTCTTTCCCCCACTACAAAGACTAGTAGGATGTGCTCCTGGAAGCAATGTATTGTGTTTCTGTGGACCAAGTTCCTTTCTGCACTCCCCTGGTAGTGCTACAGTCTTCTTTAGCTGCAGTCTTCTCTGTCAGGCTCTGGGCTTCCATCCTCTCCCTGGGCAGGAGACAAGGCTGCTGTTGACTAATAGAGAAGCTCTGTGGAGCTGCCACTTCCTGTCAGCCCTTGCAGAAATCGTCTCTCACCATTCCACATGTGCCTAATGGGATCCTCGATTGTTGTTATAGACTTACTACACTGTGTGTCTGTACCCCCACATTATGGTGCATGCCACAGTGCATAATGAGGTGACCCGTATGTTTCTGGGCCTGATGTCTTCTCTCCCTCTACATGGCTTTCAGATTTTACATCACCAGATTTTACATCACCAGATCCTACACAGAAACTTTGTATTGCTCAATCAGTTGCCCTAACCCCCCCCCCCCACAGTTATTTCACGGTGCTGGGAGGAAGGCAGGACCTGCGTGGTGCAGAGCTGGAGTCGACACGAGGAGAGTACGTCCTCGCTCACAACGGCTGGGTCATGAACGCCGACCCTCTCGTCAACTTTGCTAATGAAGGAAGCCAGGTACGTGCACCAATGTTTTGTGGATATTGGACGTCTCAAGTTGCACTGGTTTATGAGTATATAACACAAAGAACTTTCCTAATCAGATTAGCTACTCCCATTGCTCGCTCCCAGTGTCACAGTGTGCCTCTGTAGGTGTATATGTACAATGTACAATCTAATGTGTGACTCTGTAGGTATGTTTGATCTAATGTGTGACTCTGTACATGTTCAATCTAATGTGTGTGTCTGTAGGTATGTTGTGACTCTGTAGGTATGTTCAATCTAATGTGTGGCTCTGTAGGTATAATGTTCAATCTAATGTGTGTGTCTGTAGGTATACTTCCAGAGGGAGCTGATAGTGTGGGGAGACTCTGTAAAGCTGAGGTACGGAGACAGTCCGGCCGACTCTCCATGGCTCTGGGACCACATGAAGAAATATACACAGGTACATACATGGTGCAGTACGGTTCACTATTACTACTCTAATCGTATCGCACCCCCTGCACAATTTATACCGTTTTAAACACACGATGAATACTGTACAGGTGTTATAATAGTACTGTTCAGTCGTATTAGTTACTGTGACAAATACAATCCCCTGCACAATTTATACTGTTTCACTGCAGGTGTAGTGAAAACCCCTTTACAGTGAAAGTTTACATTGGATCCCTTTTCTTTTATACCAAGTCGATGCTAATAGTCAGAGCTTGGCAATCCTTTCATTCTAGACAAGGTTGACTTCTCTCTTGCAGGCGATGGCGTGGATCTTCGACGGGTTCCGACTGGACAATTGCCACAACACGCCAGTGGGCGTGGCCGAGGCGCTCCTGGACTCCGCCCGGGAGGTGAACCCCCAGTTGTACCTGGTGGCCGAACTGTTCACCAGCTCCGAGGAAAAAGACAACTACTTCGTCAATAGACTCGGAATTAACTCTCTCATTAGAGGTACTGTACATATGTAACACAGCTGCAGCTGTTATATACTCTCTCTAAGGACACCCCTGAAATGAGGATATGATGAGAACACCTTTTGGTGGGAATGAAAGTGTTTTGAACCTGGTCCATAATACATCGTATTAGCCCACAATGCGACAACATATAAATGTTGCAAAATTTTGCCACAACTCGTCGATTCTCGGGCTATATATAGTGACGTTTGAGAACCAGACTTTAGCCCCTCTCTCTCTCTCTCTCTCTCTCTCCCACCCATCCGCAGAGGCTCTGAGTGCCCACAATGCCAGAGAAGAGGGGAGACTGGTCTACAAGTATGGCGGAGACCCAGTTGCCAGCTTCCTTCCCCACCCAACACAGACGGTCCTCAAACCCTCGGTGGCCCACGCCATGTTCATGGACGCCACTCACGACAACGACCCTGGGCTCATCGGACAGAGGAGCGTGTACGACATTCTGCCAAACTCGGCTCTAGTCGGGATTGCCTCGTGTGCCAGCGGCTCCTGTGCCGGCTACGATCAACTGGTCCCTCACATGGTATGTATGTAGACGTGTAGATATACATACAGCAGGCAGTTTACTGCAACATTGCCTGACACAAAATTCAACTTCTAGTTTGTGTATGTAAGCAGTAACTTTGTAGAGTAGCAGAAATTAGTTTTGGTCTGTTGCTAGTTGAACTGTTTCCCAAACTTATGGTTGCAGGGTGTATTTACACGTCAAGGTCATAATTTTTGAATGTGTGCTACATGGCACATAGTTGATGACATCTCCTTCCTTTGTATGTATAGTTCTATCTCTCCTCTCCCTCCCTCTCCGTCCTCACAGATAGGAGTGGTAAAGGAAACGAGGCAGTACCCCAAGTGGACAGGGAGTGGCGGGAAGGAAGGAGAGGTGGGTCTGGATTCTGGGATAATGGCCGCTCAACTGGAGCTCAACAAACTGCACAAGTCGCTGGCCGACGAGGGCTTCAATCAGGTATTGTACTACTGTATGTGAAATCACTATCTGTACTTGGTTGGTAAAAAAACTATCTGTACTTGGTTGGTAAAAAAACTATCTGTACTTGGTTTGTGTCACACACAACACGTTAGAATAAGTATATACAGTTTTCAGTTAAAGTATATGTACCCTCTCTTCCGGTGTGTATGTACAGGTGTTAAAGTATATGTACCCTCTCTTCCGGTGTGTATGTACAGGTGTTAAAGTATATGTACCCTCTCTTCCGGTATGTATGTACAGGTGTTAAAGTATATGTACCCTCTCTTCCGGTATGTATGTAACTCTGTATGTACAGGTGTTAAAGTATATGTACCCTCTCTTCCGGTGTGTATGTACAGGTGTATGTGGACCAAGTGACGGAGGAGATAGTAGCCGTGACGCGCCACTCCCCCTCCACTCACCAGTCAGTCATCCTCATGGCCCACACGGCCTTCTCCCCCCCACAATCCTGGGCCGTCCCCACCGTATCTCGCCCCGACACCAATTTCACCCACGTTCCTCCGCTCACCGTCCCCGGGCGGGTCTCCGAGATTGTTCTAGAAGCACGGCTACTGAAGAAGGACGGCGAGGGCGAAGGGGCGGAGTTTCAAAAGTCGGAGAGAGTGATAAATGGGATGGTTGACCACGCAGTTGACATGAGGAAGAACATCTCGCTGGGCGAGTCTCGGATGTGTCGCCTGGCGGGGGAGGAGGGAGGGAGCACCCAGGAGGTCGTGTTTACTGACTTCTGTCCCGGCAGCATCATCGTCTTCAGGTTAGTGTTCTCTTAAGTTTGGTGCTCGATCTACAGTCTTTAGGCTCCCCTTCTCCCCTCACTGTACCTCTTAATGACAAGGTTGTAGCTATGTACTGTGCATATACAAATGAGAAGGGCCGTGTGAATGTGTCGATCGCTAAATGAGATGTGACCAGACATTACTACATGTGGAAATTTCTCGAAGGCTTGAGATTTAGCTCCCATCTCCCCTGCATACCTGTGGCAATCCTAGTTGTATTAAGATGATCAAGTTAATACCATTCCACAGGGTGTCTCTTGTTCCGTCCACCTGCAAGGCCATCTGTCTCCTCCGCTCCTTCCTCGACCGAGAAACCACGGCCCAGGTGGGCACTAAATGGAGACAGGAGCTCGCCGCTGCAGTCGGGGACCTAGACCTACTGGACCTGAACTACGCACTCTACCGCTGCGACCAGGAAGAACGCGACGACGGACATGGGGGCGGAGCCTACGTTGTACCCGGAGCGGGCGCCTTTGTCTACTGCGGATTGGAGGGGATCATGTCGATGATGAAGGCTGTCAGGGATAATAACGACCTGGGACATCCCCTCTGTGATAATCTCCGCTCTGGGGACTGGCTGGCTGGGTACAGTGTCAATAGACTTCGTCTCAGGGCTGGCACTAAGAAGGTCAGTAACACCATTATCTTTGATTATAACCATACAGCACATCAATGAGCACCCACATTTTCCCTTTTTACACCAAATGTGGGTATGGTGGATCTGTTTCGAAGTTGAACGTTGAAAAAAAAAACGGCGGAATACATTACCTACATTGTAGTCGCCCTCTTGCTGCGCAATAATTGTATGTCCAAGAGTTGAAACTAACTGTGCACAGTGAGGGAGACCTAGGGGTCGAAGCTACAGCATTAAGTTTTCCGAAACTCGTGTGTCATCTGTGTCTCCCTCCGTCAGCTGGCGGAGTTGCTGGAGTGTGTGTTCTCAGAGCTGTCCAAGATCCCTCGCTACCTCATTCCCTGCTACTTTGAGGCCATCGTGTCTCACCTGCACTACCTCCTGAGGACTCGGGCTGTCAACCGCATGAGCAGGTCAGAACACCTTCCCAGTCTCACTTCTTTTACCACACTGCACATTTTGTGGCTGCTATGTCAGTAATAGATGTTGATGATCCCTTTCTCTCTCTTTTCGACTCCGTTTGTTGTGGATGGGTGACATGCCAAATGTTTTTTACACTCTTTGCTGCAAAATGCAACAAAAACTTCGCAGTTTCCATTTCTTCCTGTCATCTTTCTTTTCACTCTTCTCCCTGTGCATTCGTACACACATTCCTCCCTCTCTCCAGTTTCGTGCGTGATGGGCCCTCCACGGTCCAAGCCCTGGCTCTGGGTTCGGTCCAGCTCTACGGAGACTGCCACTCGGCCCACCTCCCCCCCTCCCTCCCCGACGAGGAGCCGCGTGCCAGCTTGGCCGCAGGTCTCCCTCATTTCAGCACTGGGTTCATGAGGTGCTGGGGTCGCGACACGTTCATCGCCCTGCGAGGTCTCTTTCTCGTCACCGGCAGGTTCAGGGAGGCCCTGTGAGTGGAGTGGCTGTAGACACATCTAGTTTACACCCTCACAATAACACTAGAACGAATGCAACTCATCTTTTAATTTTCTGCAAGAGTGTTTCGAATCACGTAAAACAGTATGTTCAGTGGCAGTATCCCGAATCCCGAAGTGAGACAGTACTCAAGGCCCTCTTTTCCCGCCAATCAACTCGCATGTAATATGTTGTATGAAATAACTGCTGAATGAGTCTTATTAATATGTCGTCATTGCAGGGACCACATCTTGTCATTTGCTGCCTGCGTGCGTCACGGTCTCATTCCCAATCTCCTGAGCGGCGGAACCAATCCTCGCTACAACTGTCGCGACGCTCCGTGGTGGTGGCTCCAGAGTCTCCAGGACTACTGGAAGATGGCCCCCGACGGGAAGAATGTTCTCCAGGTGAGACCCCCTGTTCTCCTATACATACAGTTGGTGGTGGATGTGTGTCTGCCCACAACTGTAGCATGTTGTCTACCCACAACTGTAGCAGTTAGGGAATAAAGTATACTGGGGAACCGTAGAGGGATACATTTTTCACTCTTTGACTGTCGTGTGCAGTTTGTTGGTACATAGGTAGTTAGAAACCTTCCACGTGTCCAAAATGGAAACTCACTAACCCGGTCCACAGTATTATTGGGGAGTCAGGTGAGCCTACTTGCATCATTTTAACGTTTAGTTTTGCACTTCAATTATATAACTCTTCAAATGCGATACATTCGTCTAGTAGTTCTCTATACATACATTGTACATACATTTCCCCTAAATTTCTCTCTCCCTCCCTCTGATAATGACAACAGCTGGAGGTGAGGAAGATATTCCAGTCAAACGAAAGCCAGGCAGACTTTGGGAGCCAGCAGGTCGTGGTCCTCGCCGAGGTCGTCCAGGATATTCTACAGAGACACGCCCGGGGCATCGCCTTCAGGGAGAGAGGGGCGGGGCCAAACTTGGACCGCGACATGACTCCGCCCGGGTTCAACGTGGAGGTGGGCGTGGACGAAGGGACGGGGTTCGTGTACGGAGGCAGCGTCCATAACTGTGGGACGTGGATGGACAAGGTTGGGGAGTCCACCTGGGCAGGAAATAAGGGGGCCCCTGCCACTCCGAGGTAATTATTGTACAATGTACTTTAGCCAACTTTTAGTTGTTTATATGCAACTGATGCTGTTACACAAAAACTATACATGAGCGGAGTTAGCCTGTATATTATTTGTTTGAAGATTCATGAAACAATATGAACATGCATTGAGTAGATATTGCTTGAGTCCTTCTTCTTCTTCTTTATAACCTCCACTGAGGGAGAGTAGCCTGTGGGGTAGGGGATTCAATGAGGGCGAGTTGACGGTGCAAATGGCGCCCACTTGCCAAGAATGTGTTGCTGTTCTAATTATTGTATGTGGGTTAAGTCTCTTGTTCTCTTCTCCCTCCCTCCCTCCCTCTCTCCCTCCCTCCCTCCCTCCCCAGAAATGGGTCGGCGGTAGAGCTAGTGGGTCTCTCCTACTCGGCCATACAGTGGCTCCACCAACTCTCTCAGCTGGGACAGTTCCCTTACTCTCGGGTCAACCTACCTTCAGACGACCCCCACAGTACGTCCCCACACACACACACACACACTGACAAAATACATATTTTACAGTTTCTAACGGTATAGTAAGTGTGTTTGAAGATGAAAGCGGGGCATCTGGTGTGGAAGGGGTTTATTCCCTTTCAGCTAGTGTGCTAAACACAATTATTCACTGAGACTATTATTACCACTTAGGCTCCCTGTGAGCATTGCTCATCTTCCTCTCTCTCTCTCCAGGCAGGAGAACACTGACCTACTCCAAATGGGCGTCACTCATCAAAGAAAGCTTCGAGCACCATTTCTGGGTCCCGCTGGACAGAAACTTGGCCAGTCAGAAGGAGGGCACGCAGGCCAGCTACCTCCATCGCACCGGAATGTACAAGGACTGCGTGGGCTCTACCCAGCGCTACGCCAACTACCAGTTGAGGCCGAATTTCCCCATCGCGATGGTCGTCGCTCCGGAGCTGTTCTCGCCGGAGAATGCCTGGACGGCACTGCAGACGGCAGAGGAGTTGTTGCTGGGACCGCTGGGAATGAGGACCCTCGACCCCGGGTGAGATGGGAGGGGAGGAACGGAGGTGTATTATAATATTGTAGTAACCATTCAGAGCCGTAGAGTGTTGGGGAAAACGCAATGCAAATGCAAAAGCAAATTTTCGTGACTTCTCTTCTAAAGAGTTCTCGTGTAGTGTAGTTAAGTGTAGTTGACTTGTTTGCCTTGCTACCTCGTACAGTTGACTTGTTTGCCTTGCTACCTCGTACAGTTGACTTGTTTGCCTTGCTACCTCGTACAGTTGACTTGTTTGCCTTGCTACCTCGTACAGTTGACTTGTTTGCCTTGCTACCTCGTACAGTTGACACATAAATGTTTACTTTCCTCCTCATTTCCCCGTCCTCATCCTCATTTCCCCTTTTCCTGGTCCAGGGACTATGTGTACAACGGCTACTACATTAACTCGGTGGACTCTGGGAACTACAACACTGCCAAAGGTTTCAACTACCACCAAGGCCCCGTGAGTATATTATCGTCACTCTGAGTCCCTCTCCACACATTTCCAAGAATATCCACTGCATCTAAGACAGTTTGATATGACAAATTTTTAGCAACTGTGTTACTGTCTCTGCCAGCGTACTCTGATTACAGGGTCCCCCTCAGTAGAAAATGACCACACTCTAAGAAAATCTAGCTAGCAGGCAATATTTCACTTTCCCTGACTTTTCCCAACAATTTTGCCCTTAGTATCTCTTCTCCTCCTCTCTGCCTTCCTCTTTCATTTCCTCCTCTTCTCCTCTCCTCTCCTCTTCCCCTCTCCCTTCTCCTCCTCTCCTCTCCGTGTGTACAGGAGTGGCTGTGGGTGGTGGGATACTTCCTCCGCGCACGGCTCCAGTTTGCCCACCGAAATGGAGTCAAAGTCGCGGATAACCTCTCCCTCATTCACTCGGTCCTCAGCACCCACGCCCAGGCGCTCCAGGACTCCCCGTGGAAGGGACTCCCCGAACTCACCAACAAGGACGGGACAGAGTGCGTGGATAGCTGTCCCGTGCAGGCCTGGTCCATGGCCACCATTCTAGACGTTCTTCATGATCTCAAGCAGTATAGCTGAGCCACCCCAAGTCTCCCTGCCCCACCCCCCCTATCTCTAAGTATTATTCAGTACATATCTAAGTTCCTGTGAGCTACATATATACGATGTATGTTCAAGAACATTCTTCAGACTATAATAATATAGCAAGAGGTAGTGTTAATTTTACTGCTGTGTGGTCACATTGTGTATGTAATGCAGATTTGTAAATGATTTTTTAGTACTCGCTGAACCGTCACTATGTTGTATACCAATGTGCACGGTGATGATTTTGAGAGGGAGTAAACCTTACTAATTTATTCCGATTCTAGGGATGTTCGTTTTTCTGCGATATTTGTGGACAGCTTCACGAAAAGCTTTTTCCCACCAAATCTATTGACACGACTACTTTGTGTTTACATCCAGCGAAAAAGCAGCCATGTGTGTGTGTTATTTCATCTATACTAAACCAAGTGACAACAGACAAATGAAACTGCTAATATAAGCATCGATCGTTAAACTCACTGTTAGTCTTAGTGGCGGCCCTACATGGGTGTGTGTGTGTGTGGGGAGCAATTGACCCCTCAGGAACTGCCATGCACTAGCAGAGGCTTCAGTAGTGAGTACAGTGGAACCTCCGATAAGGGACCCTCCGAGGCAGGGACGAACTCCCTACTCAGGACACTTGTTTCAACCCCATGCTAATACTTTAGTGTATTATTTGATTTCCGAGTTAGGGACGACCTCTCTACAAGGGACAAAATCATTAGCCCCATAGTGTCCATTGTTCAGAGGTTCCGATGGTAGAGCAAAGAAATACCGTGCCCGGGGAGCATGCCTCGTGTGGGAGCATGTGTTTGGTGGTGGGCACAGGCTTTCTTGCATCATTCCTTTCATGTCTCCTGACTCTGCACATGGAAATGGCAGGTGTGTAGGAGTTCTCTGTGTGCAACCGGCCACTATGCAAGCAACACACTTTGCATAATATGCTGACATCTCACATTATAATAATATAGTCTTAAGGGAACAGCACACTGTATCCACAGACATACACAGTAAGCAAGACTTGTATAGAGGTGAAGAAAGAGGGTTTAAGTAGACCTGTCAATGTAACCTGTGCCATAAGAATTATATACAAGACCAATAATAGGCTACAGAGTAAAAACACACAGTACGATCAATGTCGTGGTCTACTTTTCTCCAATGACAGAATATTCCTGTTCTCCATGTCCATCAGTTCCATCAGTTCCATCAGTTCCATCAGTTTCCCCACCTCCTCCCTCTCTCCCTGCACTCCCTGCACTCACAGCAGGCAGCACAGCTCCATTAGTTCCAGAGGGAAACTCTAGGGTATGGTAGGCATGGGCTGGAGGTTCCAGTGTGGCATATTCTGGAGCCATCCCAGGAGGCACCATCGCATAGTCGTACACATGAGGTGGAGGAGGGGTGGGGCCTTCCGATGTAGTGGGTGTGGTCACCGGTACCTCGTATTCTGATTGGACGAATCCGTTGCCATTGGGAACAGAGTACTGAGGCTCATCGAAAGTGTTCCCATTTTGTGTGGTGTGACTGTAACAAAAGTGCAGACACAGGCAAAGTATGTGGCCCTAACAAAAGCACAAAAGACCACTTTTATTATCACGAGTTACTGCTTATATATTCACCAATGGAAGAAACTTAATACATTGTATGTAGTGGATTCCAGTAAAACTGTGCCTTGAGCTGAGGGAAGAGGGTGGTTTTCCAGGACAGGACATGATCTATGCCACTTAAAGTCACCAGTTTAACTTATGGGTGTCTAGCTAGATGTGGTTCCTATTGTGTACAGGTTATGTGAGTATAGCTGTTGTAGTGACAAAGGGTGGAGGCTTCGTGTACATAAGACAGGTGTTTGTGGGGGAAAGGCTCTACTACTGTATATACACTTGCAATGGTACACACTTGCACTTTCCTTAAGGAAAGATGATAAACAAGACAGAGTGAGGCACACTCCTTACCTCTCAGACACTCCATTACTGCGGATATTTTGTCGGGTAGTGTTATATAGAGGATTAGGGAACTTGCGACTATAGGAAAGAAAGAGGAAAGAAACAAGTGTCAAGTAGGATTACTACTTCCTGGGCTATCAGAAAATTACAGTGTCTCGGCATCCTGTTTGTGGCCACTTGTTCCATTCCCGTTACTACAAAGATGACACAATCAGTAAGTAAGCAAGATGAGGGAGTGCCCACATGGGCTGACCTAGCAGGTAACTTGACTGGTATGTTTTGAGACACTGCATCGTAGACGGGGTTAGTCAGTTGCTTCCCATCACTGGAGAAATGGCTGCATGGTAATCCACCAGTCACAAGTGAACAAACTGAAAGTTACTACAACTGCTTACTTACTACAACTGCTTACTTACTTCTCATTTTGTTTCGATTTCCTGTGACTTCTTACTATTACCAGAACTAGCACTACCACTAGTGCTAGAGCTAGAATGACTACAATCAGAGCACCCACACCAGCCAGAATTGGAATAGGTAGTCCACCACCACTGTCTCCGGCTCTTGAATCAACTGTACGTTCCTCTGTTGTTCCAGCAGTCGGAAGTGAAGGGGTAGTGGATGATATCCCACTGTGAGTAGTGCCCTTGATGGGTGGATGAGAAGGGGTGGGAGGTTCTTTTGTGGTTCCAGCAGTAGGGAGTGAAGGGGTGGTGGTTAAAGTGATTGGCTTCCCACTGTGAGTAGTGCCCTTGATGGGTGGATGAGAAGGGGTGGGAGATGGAGAAAGGGATGGAGTTTGTTCTCGACCGACACTTGTGACAGTGTCTCCCACAACTGTAGTCTTGTGTGTGGCTCCATTGGTAGGAAGGGCAGATGTAGTGGATGGAGATGCAGTTTGTTGTGCAATGTATCCAGCAGTTGATTGGCTAGGCAATGCTGCAGAATCAAAGAACACGCCATAAATCTAAACCAGTATATAGTTCTTGGAAGCATGGGACAATAGAGCACTTTCTCTATACTTTTGGGCTATCATAACAAAAAATAAAGTTTTCCCTTTACATGTGGTAAGACGGGTAGGAGTGACAACTGAAGATGTCTTGGTGCTGGAAATAGTTGGACCATTAGTGACGTAAAGTGTAGAAGTGCTGATTAGTGACTTTTCGGTAGGTGTAGTAGATGGTTGGTAGTTTATCAGAGTGAGAGCTGAAGGAATAGAACTGAGGAGTACTTTTGCTGTGTGCAAAAAAGTTACGTACCTTTACATGTGGTGCCCTCTTGATCTTCAGTATATCCAGAGTTACACTCACATCGTGCATTACCAGTGAGCCATACTCCATCATTTTTACATAATATCTTTAAAGTGTTATTAACAAGGTGAGAATTCTCTGCACAGGATGGAGTGACGGACTCTAAATTTCTGACAGGTGACTGAGTGGCAGGTCGACGGAGAAGGTCTCTTGTAGGAAGTCTGTCATGACCAGGACATTCATAACGATAGACCAACACTCTGGACACATTCACACAGGCTCCATCACTTTTTAGTGCTAAGAAAATTGCAGTAACTGATGTTTCAGAGTCAATGAAGAACTGTTTGGTACCACTGGAAACACCACTGGTGTTTTGTATACTGTTGTCTGGCATTATACCACCTTCACTATAATATGGAGTCCCAGTGCCATGGGAAAAGTAGTTTGCAAGTAGCAGTTCAAAATTATCATCACAATGTCGTCTGGGACAGTCCATGAAGGAATATGTAATGTTCACAAATATTCTGACTGGGTATGTATTAGGAGATGGGAGAGTCTTGTTGATGAACTGAGTTTGTAGCAATTTTTCTCGACCTCCAGAACACACTGACACTGAGCTACCACTACAAGTTCCTTTAGAAGACCACTGTAGGTATAAATGAATAGTGTCAGTGTAGCGTTATTAGTAGCCTTTGAGCTATCTACCTTTTTTTGCTTCGTTCCGGTCATTCGGCGTCTCCGCTCAGCAGTAGTTGTAGTCCAGACTCTGTTCCCATCACCCTCTGCTATCAGTGTGTGGTATCTCCAGCTATCCATCAGAACTTTGACACTGACTGGATACTCTGGAACTGGACATCTCACATCCTCATCTCCTGGAGCTGCCACTGACTGTCCCAGTAGTAGTAGTAGTAGACTAGTGGCCAGCAACAAGACCGATAGTTCCGGCTGCCATGCGAGAAAATTAGTGAAGTAAGGACTTTCTTGCAGCTAAAAACTTGCCTTGAAACCCAGAGAGTCCATATCGTTGAAAAAACAAGACAATCGCTGCACTGGCACACTACAAGGATCGCCCACAGTATAGTACTACGCTCTACCATCCGGCGTATCACTACGCATGCGCAGCTCGCTGCGACGGAGAAACTATATATCATTCGCAGATGCTACAACCTACCAACCTGCAGATAAACCTGTCCCTGGGAATTATGCAAAAGTTTGACGCCTTCCTAATGCATTGGCCAGACACAGGTTGTCACAATACCTTCATCTCTCTGTGACTCTCGCCTTTGTTATTTGCTCCACTGCATAATTATACAGTAGCACACACTGATGTATATACTTGAAGGTCTGAATCACAAAATGCACTGCAAGCAACTTGTAATAATATACACAAACCAGCGATTTCATCCATACATAATCAAATGACAGAACTGGCTACAGAGTAAAAATAAAAATCTACTTTTCTCCAATGACTATATATTCTTGTTCTTGGAAATGTCCATTAGTTCCATCAGTTTCCCCACCTCCCCCCTCTCTCCCTGCACTCACAGCAGGCAGCACAGCTCCATTAGGTCCAGAGGGAAACTCTAGGGTATGGTAGGCATGGGCTGGAGGTTCCAGTGTGGCATATTCTGGAGCCATCCCAGTAGGAACCATTGCATAGTCGTACACATGAGGTGGCGGAAAAAGAGGTGGAGGAGGGGTGGGGCCTTCCGATGAAGTGGGTGTGGTCACCGGCACCTCGTATTCTGATTGGACGAATCCGTTGCCATTGGGAACAGAGTATTGAGGCTCATCGAAAGTGTTCCCATTTTGTGTGGTGTGACTGTAACAAAAGTGCAGAAAGAGGCAAAGTATGTGGCCCTAACAAAGCACAACAGACCACTTTTATTATCATGAGTTACTGCTTATTTACTCTAGTATATTCCCTTTCAAAACCAATGGAATACATTGGGATTCCAGTAAAACTGTGCCGTGAGCTGGGGGAAGAGGGTGGTTTTCCAGGGCAGGACATGATCTATGCCGTGAGCTGGGGGGAGAGGGCGGTTTTCCCGGGCAGGACATGATCTATGCCACTTAAAGTCACCAGTTTAACTTAGTGGTCCTAGCATGTGGTGCCATTCCAGTGAGTATAGCTGTTGTAGTGACAGGTGGAGGCTTAGTGTACATAAGACAGGTGTATGTGTGGGAAGGCTCTACTACTGTATATACACTTGCAATGGTACACCTTGCACTTTCCTTAAGGAAGATGATAAACAAGACAGAGTGAAGTAAGATAACAAGACAGCTCCTTACCTCTCAGACACTCCATTACTGAGGATATTGTGCCGGTAGTGTTATATAGAGATTAGGAACTTAGCGACTGTAGGAAAGAAAGAGGAAAGAGAAAGTGTCAAGTAGGATTACTACTTCCTGGGCTATCAGAAAATTACAGTATCTCGTCATCCATGTGGGCTGACCTAGCAGGTAACTTGACTGGTATGTTTTGAGACACTGCATCGTAGACTGGGTTAGTCAGTTGTTTCCCATCACTAGAGAAATGGCTGCATGGCAATCCACCAGTCACAAGTGAACAAACTGAAAGTTACTACAACTGAAAGTTACTACAACTGCTTACTTACTTCTCGTTCTGTTTCGGTTTCCTATGATTTCTCACTATTACCAGAACTAGCACTACCACTAGTGCTAGAGCTAGGAATACTACTACCAGAGCACCAACACCAGCCAGAATGGGAATAGGCAGTCCACTACCACTGTCCCCGGCTCTTGCATCAACTGTACGTTCCTCTGTGGTTCCAGCAGTAGGAAGTGAAAGGGTGGTGGATGAAGTGATTGGTTTCCCACTGTGAGTTGACTGGCTAGGCAATGCTGCAGAATCAAAGAACACGCCATAAATCTAAACCAGTAGTTATTGGAAGCATGGGTTAATAGAGCACTTGTCTCTATACTATTTGGGCTATCATAGCAAAAATAAAGTTTTACCTTTACATGTGGTGCCCTCTTGATCTTCAGTATATCCAGAGTTACACTCACATCGTGCATTACCATTGACCCATACTCCATCAAGATCTACATAATATCATTGAAGTGTTATTAAAAGGTGAGAATTCTCTGCACAGTATGGAGTGATAGACACTGTTCCACTGACAGGTGACTGAGTGGCAGGGCGACGGAGAAGGTTTCTTGTAGGTAGTCTGTCATGACCAGGACATTCATAACGATAGACCAACACTCTGGACACATTCACACAGGCTTCAACACTTCTTAGTGCTAAGAAAATTCCAGTAACTGATGTTTCAGAGTCAAAGAAGAACTGTTTGGTACCACTGGAAACACCACTGGTGTTTTGTATACTGTTGTCTGGCATTATACCACCTTCACCATATGGATAGCTCTGTCATGGTTTGCAAGTAGCAGCTCAAAATTATAATCACATTTTGGTCTGGGACAGTCCATGAAGGAATATGTAATGTTCACAAATATTCTGACTGGGTATGTATTAGGAGATGGGAGAGTCTTGTTGATGAACTGAGTTCGTAGCCATTTTCCTTCTCGACCTCCAGAACACACTGAAACTGAACTACCACTACAAGTTCCTTGAGAAGACCACTGTAGGTATAAATGAATAGTGTCAGTGTAGCATTATTAGTAGCCTTTGAGCTAGCTACCATCATTGGCTTCGTTAGTGCAGTCCAGACTCTGTTCCCATCATCCTCTGCTATCAGTGTGTGGTATCTCCAGCTATCCATCAGAACTTTGACATTGACTGGATACTCTGGAACTGGACATCTGTTATCCTCATCTCCTGGAGCTACTGCCACTGACTGTCCCAGTAGTACTAGTAGACTAGTGGCCAGCAACAAGACTTCGGACTGCCATGCGAGAAAATTAGTGAAGTAAGGACTTTCTTGCAGCTAAAAACTTGCCTTGAAACCCAGAGACTCCATATCGTTGAAAAAACAAGACAATCGCTGCACTGGATCGCCCACAGTATAGTACTACGCTTTCTACCATCCGGCGTATCACTACGCATGCGCAGCTCGCTGCGACGGAGAAACTATATATCATTCGCAGATGCCACAACCTACCAACCTGCAGATAAACCTGTCCTTGGGAATTGTGCAAAAGTTTGACGCCTTCATAATGCATTGGCCAGACACAGGTTGTCACAATACCTTCATCTCTCTGTGACTCTCGCCTTTGTGATTTGCTCCACTGCATAATTATACAGTAACACACACTGATGTATATATATACTTGAAGGTCTGAATCACAGAATGCACTGCAAGCAACTTGTAATAATATACACAAACCAGCGATTTCATCCATACATAATCAAATGACAGAACTGGCTACAGAGTAAAAAGAAAATCTACTTTTCTCCAATGACTGAATATTCTTGTTCTTGAAAATGTCCATCAGTTCCATCAGTTTCCCCACCTCCTCCCTCTCTCCCTGCACTCACAGCAGGCAGCACAGCTCCATTAGTTCCAGAGGGAAACTCTAGGGTATGGTAGGCATGGGCTGGAGGTTCCAGTGTGGCATATTCTGGAGCCATCCCAGTAGGAACCATTGCATAGTCGTACACATGAGGTGGCGGAAAAAGAGGTGGAGGAGGGGTGGGGCCTTCCGATGAAGTGGGTGTAGTCACCGGCACTTCATATTCTGATTGGTCGAATCCGTTGCCATTGGGAACAGAGTACTGAGGCTCGTTGAAATACAGGTTTTTAGTATGACTGTAACGAAAGTGACATCATACATCATCACAGTAAAGCCACACAACAGACTTGTTTACATCATGAGTCACTGTCTATTTACTCCACTACAAGAACTCTTTCAAAACCACTACAAGTAATTGGAAACCTGATAGCTACACAGTGGAATCCTCATATACACAGGGCTGTAGGCAGGGCCCTGGGCTGCCGGGTGGTTACCAAGATGATCTGTATAATACCTCTTAGAGTGAATGACTGGTTTCAGGTCAGAGTGACCATAATAGGACACAGGCCCTTGTGCTTGTGTAGTAGCTATTTCTAAGGACATACGGTTGAGTATAATGCATAAAAAAGGTTTGTGGGAAAATCTACGGGAGTTTTGGATGGCTATTCCTTTGTTATGCAACATGAGTATATACCCTTACCTCTCAGACACTGCATTACTGCGGACACTGTGTTGGGAAGTTTTCTCTTCACATTGGTCTAGTTCTCTAAATTTCTCTCTCCCTCCCTCTCATCATGGTAAAATACAACAGCTGGAGGTGAGGAAGATATTCCAGTCAGACGAAAGCCACGTCTCCTCCTCTCCTCCTCTCCTCTCCCAGGAGTGGCTGTGGGTGGTGGGATACTTCCTCCACGCACGGCTCCAGTTTGCCCACCGAAATAGAGTCAAAGTCTCAGATAACCTCTCCCTCATTCACTCGGTCCTCAGCACCCACGCCCAGGCACTCCAGGACTCTCCGTGGAAGGGACTCCCCGAACTCACCAACAAGGACGGGACAGAGTGCGTGGATAGCTGTCCCGTGCAGGCCTGGTCCATGGCCACCATTCTAGACGTTCTTCATGATCTCAAGCAGTATAGCTGAGCCACCCCAAGTCTCCCTGCCCCACCCCCCCTATCTCTAAGTATTATTCAGTACAATATCTAAGTTCCTGTGAGCTACATAATATACGATGTATGTTCAAGAACATTCTTCAGACTATAATAATAATTATAGCAAGAGGTAGTGTTAATTTTACTGCTGTGTGGTCACATTGTGTATGTAATGCAGATTTGTAAATTACTCGCTGAACCATCACTATGTATACCAGTAATATGCACAATGATGATTTTGAGAGGGAGTAAACCTTTACTAATTTATTCCGATTCTGCGACATTTTGTGAACAGCTTCATGAAAAGCTTTTTCCCACCAAATCTATTGACACAACTACTTTGTGTTGACATCCAGCGAAAAGGCAGCCACGTGTGTGATGTTATTTCATCTATACTAAACCAAGTGACAATAGACAAATGAAACTGCTAATATAAGCATTGATCGTTAAACTCACTGTTAGTCTTAGTGGCGGCCCTGCATGTGTGTGTGTGGGTGTGTGGGGAGCAATTGACCCCTCAGGAACTGCCATGCACTAGCAGAGGCTTCAGTAGTGAGTACAGTGGAACCTCCGATAAGGGACCCTCCGAGATAAGGACGAACTCTCTACAAGGGACAAAATCATTGGCCCCATAGTGTCCCTTGTTCAGAGGTTCCGATGTATTGGATCCTGCTCATGGTAGAGCAAAGAAATACAACTCGGGGAGCATGCCTCGTGTGGGGAGCATGTGTTTGGTGGTGGGCACAGGCTTTCTTGCATCATTCCTTTCATGTCTCCTGACTCTGCACATGGAAATGGCAGGTGTGTAGGAGTTCTCTGTGTGCAACCAGCCACTATGCAAGCAACACACTTTGCATATAATAATATAGCTTAAGGGACACTCACACTGTATCCAGACATACACGTAAGCAAGACTTTAGAGCGAGAGCGGGTTTAAGTAGACCTGTCAATGTAACCTGTGCCAAAGAATTATACAAGACCAATAATAGGCTACAGAGTAAAAACACACAGTACGATCAATGTCGTGGTCTACTTTTCTCCAATGACAGAATATTCCTGTTCTCCATGTCCATCAGTTCCATCAGTTTCCCCACCTCCTCCCTCTCTCCCTGCACTCACAGCAGGCAGCACAGCTCCATTAGTTCCAGAGGGAAACTCTAGGGTATGGTAGGCATGGGCTGGAGGTTCCAGTGTGGCATATTCTGGAGCCATCCCAGGAGGCACCATTGCATAGTCGTACACGTGAGGTGGCAGAGAAAGAGGTGGAGGAGGGGTGGGGCCTTCCGATGAAGTGGGTGTGGTCACCGGCACCTCGTATTCTGATTGGACGAATCCGTTGCCATTGGGAACAGAGTACTGAGGCTCATCGAAAGTGTTCCCATTTTGTGTGGTGTGACTGTAACAAAAGTGCAGAAAGAGGCAAAGTATGTGGCCCTAACAAAGCACAACAGACCACTTTTATTATTACGAGTTTACTGCTAGTATATTCACCAATGGAGAAACTTAATACATTGTATGTGTGGATTCAGTAAAACTGGCCTTGAGCTGGGGGGAAGAGGGTGGTTTTCCAGGGCAGGACATGATCTATGCCGTGAGCTGGGGGGAGAGGGCGGTTTTCCCGGGCAGGACATGATCTATGCCACTTAAAGTCACCAGTTTAACTTATGGGTGTCTAGCTATGTGGTGCCTATTGTGTACAGGTTATGTGAGTATAGCTGTTGTAGTGACAAAGGGTGGAGGCTTAGTGTACATAAGACAGGTGTTTGTGGGGGAAAGGCTCTACTACTGTATATACACTTGCAATGGTACACACTTGCACTTTCCTTAAGGAAAGATGATAAACAAGACAGAGTGAAGTAAGATAAACAAGACAGCTCCTTACCTCTCAGACACTCCATTACTGAGGATATTGTGTCGGGTAGTGTTATATAGAGGGTTTGGGAACTTGCGACTGTAGGAAAGAAAGAGGAAAGAGAAAGTGTCAAGTAGGATTACTACTTCCTGGGCTATCAGAAAATTACAGTGTCTCGGCATCCTGTTTGTGGCCACTTGTTCCATTCCCGTTACTACAAAGATGACACAATCAGTGAGTAAGCAAGATGAGGGAGTGCCCATGTGGGCTGACCTAGCAGGTAACTTGACTGGTATGTTTTGAGACACTGCATCGTAGACGGGGTTAGTCAGTTGCTTCCCATCACTGGAGAAATGGCTGCATGGCAATCCACCAGTCACAAGTGAACAAACTGAAAGTTACTACAACTGCTTACTTACTTCTCATTTTGTTTCGATTTCCTGTGATTTCTTACTATTACCAGAACTAGCACTACCACTAGTGCTAGAGCTAGGATGACTACAATCAGAGCACCCACACCAGCCAGAATGGGAATAGGTAGTCCACCACCACTGTCCCTGGCTCTTGCCTCAACTGTACGTTCCTCTGTTGTTCCAGCAGTAGGAAGTGAAGGGGTGGGAGATGGAGAAAGGGATGGAGTTTGTTCTCGACTGACACTTGTTACAGTGTCTCCCACAACTGTAGTCTTGTGTGTGGCTCCATTGGTAGGAAGGGCAGATGTAGTGGATGGAGATGCAGTTTGTTGTGCAATGTATCCAGTAGTTGACTGGCTAGGCAATGCTGCAGAATCAAAGAACACACCATAAATCTAAACCAGTAGTTATTGGAAGCATGGGTTAATAGAGCACTTGTCTCTATACTTTTGGGCTATCATAGCGAAATAATTGTTTTACCTTTACATGCGGTCCCATTTTTATCTTCAGTATACCCAGAGTTACACTCACATCGTGCTTTACCATTGACCCATACTCCATCAAATCTACATAATATCTTTGAAGTGTTATTAACAAGGTGAGAATTCTCTGCACAGTATGGAGTGACGGACTCTAAATTTCTGACACAGTGACTGAGTGGCAGGTCGACGGAGAAGGTTTCTTGTAGGCAGTCTGTCATGACCAGGACATTCATAACGATAGACCAACACTCTGGACACATTCACACAGGCTTCAACACTTTTTAGTGCTAAGAAAATTCCAGTAACTGATGTTTCAGAGTCAAAGAAGAACTGTTTGGTACCACTGGAAACACCACTGGTGTTTTGTATACTGTTGTCTGGCATTATACCACCTTCACCATATGGATAGCTTGTGTCATGGTAATAGTTTGCAAGTAGCAGCTCAAAATTATCATCACATTTTGGTCTGGGACAGTCCATGAAGGAATATGTAATGTTCACAAATATTCTGACTGGGTATGTATTAGGAGATGGGAGAGCTCTTGTTGATGAACTGAGTTCGTAGCCATTTTCCTTCTCGACCTCCAGAACACACTGAAACTGAACTACCACTACAAGTTCCTTGAGAAGACCACTGTAGGTATAAATGAATAGTGTCAGTGTAGCATTATTAGTAGCCTTTGAGCTAGCTACCGTTTTTGGGGTCATTCCATGTCTCTCAGTAGTAGTGCAGTCCAGACTCTGTTCCCATCATCCTCTGCTATCAGTGTGTGGTATCTCCAGCTATCCATCAGAACTTTGACATTGACTGGATACTCTGGAACTGGACATCTCTCATCCTCATCTCCTGGAGCTACTGCCACTGACTGTCCCAGTAGTACTAGTAGACTAGTGGCCAGCAACAAGACTGATAGTTCGGACTGCCATGCGAGAAAATTAGTGAAGTAAGGACTTTCTTGCAGCTAAAAACTTGCCTTGAAACCCAGAGACTCCATATCGTTGAAAAAACAAGACAATCGCTGCACTGGCACTACAAGGATCGCCCACAGTATAATACTCACACGCTTTCTACCATCCGGCGTATCACTACGCATGCGCAGCTCGCTGCGACATCATTCGCAGATGCCACAACCTACCAACCTGCAGATAAACCTGTCCTTGGGAATTGTGCAAAAGTTTGACGCCTTCATAATGCATTGGCCAGACACAGGTTGTCACAATACCTTCATCTCTCTGTGACTCTCGCCTTTGTGATTTGCTCCACTGCATAATTATACAGTAACACACACTGATGTATATATATACTTGAAGGTCTGAATCACAGAATGCACTGCAAGCAACTTGTAATAATATACACAAACCAGCGATTTCATCCATACATAATCAAATGACAGAACTGGCTACCGAGTAAAAAGAAAATCTACTTTTCTTCAATGACTGAATATTCTTGTTCTTGAAAATGTCCATCAGTTCCATCAGTTTCCCCACCTCCTCCCTCTCTCCCTGCACTCACAGCAGGCAGCACAGCTCCATTAGTTCCAGAGGGAAACTCTAGGGTATGGTAGGCATGGGCTGGAGGTTCCAGTGTGGCATATTCTGGAGCCATCCCAGGAGGCACCATTGCATAGTCGTACACATGAGGTGGCGGAAAAAGAGGTGGAGGAGGGGTGGGGCCTTCCGATGAAGTGGGTGTAGTCACCGGCACTTCATATTCTGATTGGTCGAATCCGTTGCCATTGGGAACAGAGTACTGAGGCTCGTTGAAATACAGGTTTTTAGTATGACTGTAACGAAAGTGACATCATACATCATCACAGTAAAGCCACACAACAGACTTGTTTACATCATGAGTCACTGTCTATTTACTCCACTACAAGAACTCTTTCAAAACCACTACAAGTAATTGGAAACCTGATAGCTACACAGTGGAATCCTCATATACACAGGGCTGTAGGCAGGGCCCTGGGCTGCCGGGTGGTTACCAAGATGATCTGTACAATACCTCTTAGAGTGAATGACTGGTTTCAGGTCAGAGTGACCATAATAGGACACAGGCCCTTGTGCTTGTGTAGTAGCTATTTCTAAGGACATACGGTTGAGTATAATGAAAAAGGTTTGTGGGAAAATCTACGGGAGTTTTGGATGGCTATTCCTTTGTTATGCAACATGAGTATATACCCTTACCTCTCAGACACTGCATTACTGCGGACACTGTGTTGGGAAGTTTTAAACTTTTAGTTTTGCACTTCAATTCACTCTTCACATTGGTCTAGTTCCCTAAATTTCTCTCTCCCTCCCTCTCATCATGGTAAAATACAACAGCTGGAGGTGAGGAAGATATTCCAGTCAGACGAAAGCCAGGGAGCCAGCAAGTCGTGGTCCTCGCCGAGGTGGTCCAGGACATTCTACAGAGACACGCGCCCAGGGCATCGCCTTCAGGGAGAGAGGGGCGGGGCCAAACTTGGACCGCGACATGACTCCGCCCGGGTTCAACGTGGAGGTGGGCGTGGACGAAGGGACGGGGTTCGTGTACGGAGGCAGCGTCCATAACTGTGGGACGTGGATGGACAAGGTTGGGGAGTCCACCTGGGCAGGGAATAAGGGGGCCCCTGCCACTCCGAGGTAATTATTGTACAATGTACTTTAGCCAACTTTTAGTTGTTTATATGCAACTGATGCTGTTACACAAAAACTATACATGAGTGGAGTTAGCCTGTATATTATTTGTGAACAATATGAACATGCGCTGAGTAGATATTGCTTGCATCCTTCTTCTTTATAACCTCCACTGAGGGAGAGTAGCCTGTGGGGTAGGGGATTCAATGAGGGTGAGTTGACAGTGAAGACGTTCGGAGTGCAAATGGCACCCACTCGCCAAGACTGTGTTGCTGTTCTAATTATTGTATGTGGGTTGTAACTCTCTTGTTCTCTTCTCCCTCCCTCCCTCCCTCCCCAGAAATGGGTCGGCGGTAGAGCTAGTGGGTCTCTCCTACTCGGCCATACAGTGGCTCCACCAACTCTCTCAGCTGGGACAGTTCCCTTACTCTCGGGTCAACCTACCTTCAGACGACCCCCACAGTACGTCCACACACACACACACACACACACACTGCCAAAATACATATTTTCTAACGGTATAATAAGTGTGTTTGAAGATGAAAGCGGGGCATCTGGTGTGGAAGGGGTTTATTCCCTTTCAGCTAGTGTGCTAAACACAATAATTATTCACTGAGACTATTATTACCACTTAGGCTCCTGTGGGCATTGCTCATCTTCTCCTCTCTCTCTCTCCAGGCAGGAGAACACTGGACATACTCCAAATGGGCGTCACTCATCAAAGAAAGCTTCGAGCACCATTTCTGGGTCCCGTGGACAGAAACTTGGCCAGTCAGAAGGAGGGCACGCAGGCCAGCTACCTCCATCGCACCGGAATGTACAAGGACTGCGTGGGCTCTACCCAGCGCTACGCCAACTACCAGTTGAGGCCGAATTTCCCATCGCGATGGTCGTCGCCCGGAGCTGTTCTCGCCGGAGAATGCCTGGACGGCACTGCAGACGGCAGAGGAGTTGTGCTGGGACCGCTGGGAATGAGGACCCTCGACCCCCGGGTGGAGATGGGAGGGGAGGAACGGAGGGTGTATTATACTATTGTAGTAACCATCAGAGCCGTAGAGTGTTGGGGAGGGAAAACGCAATGCAAATGCAAAAGCAACTTTCGTGACTTCTCTTCTAAAGAGTTCTCGTGTAGTGTAGTTGACTGTGTTGCGTGCTACTCGTACAGTTGACTGTTTGCTTGCTACCTCGATTACAGTTGACATAAATGTTTGACTTTCTACCCGTACATGACACATCAATCGTCATTTCACCGTCCTCCTCATTTCCCCTTTTCCTGGTCCAGGGACTATGTGTACAACGGCTACTACATTAACTCGGTGGACTCTGGGAACTACAACACTGCCAAGGTTTCAACTACCACCAAGGCCCCGTGAGTATATTTATGTCACTCTGAGTCCCTCTCCACACATTTCCCAAGAATATCCACTGCATCTGAGACAGTTTGATATGGACACATTTTTAGCAAACTGTGTTACTGTCTCTGCCAGCGTACACTCTGATTACAGGGTCCCCTCAGTAGAAAATGAGCCCACACTCTAAGAAAATCTAGCTAGCAGCAATATTTCACTTCCCTGACTTTTCCCAACAATTTTGCCCTTATCTCTTCTCCTCCTCTGCCTTCCTCGTTTCATTTCTCCTCCTCTTCTCTCTCCTCTCCTCCTCTCCTCTCCCAGGAGTGGCTGTGGGTGGTGGGATACTTCCTCCGCGCACGGCTCCAGTTTGCCCACCGAAATGGAGTCAAAGTCGCGGGACAACCTCTCCCTCATTCACTCGGTCCTCAGCACCCACGCCCAGGCGCTCCAGGACTCCCCGTGGAAGGACTCCCCGAACTCACCA